CATTCTTTCCTTGTTCTTTCCTTCCTTTCTCCCCTTTCTCTTTCTTTCTTTTCTTCCTTTTATCCTTACTTCCTTATCTCTTTTCTTTTTCTTTATTTCCTTCCTTCCATCTCTTTCATTTTTCTTTCTTTCCTACCTCCCTTCTTTTTCTTGCTTTTGTTCCTTTTATCCTTTCTTTCTTTCCTTCCTTCTTTCTTTCTTTTTCTTTCTTTTTATTTCTCCTTCATCTCCCCTTCCTCTCTCTTTCACTCTTTCCTCTCTCTCTTTCTCTCTTTCTATTTTTCTTCTCTGTTTCTCACTTCTCTTTCCTCTCCCTTTCTCTTCTCTCTTTCCTCTCCATCTCTTCCCTCTCTTTCTCTTTCCTCTCTTTCTCTTTCTTTCCTCTGCCTCTTTCTTTTTCTCTTTTTCTTTCTTTATCTGTATATCTCTATCTTTATCTTTCTCTTTTTCTTTCTCTATTTCTTTCTTTCTATCTCCCTTTATCATTCTCTTTCTCTCCCTCCCTTTTTCTTTCTCTATTTTTCTCTTTCTCTTTCTCACTCTGTTTCTCAATGTCTCTTTTTCTATCTCTTTCTATCTCTCTCCTTCTATCTTTCTTTCTCTCTTTTCTTCCTCTCTTTTCCCTCTTTCTGTTTCTCTCTTCTCTTTCCTCTCCCTTTCTTTTCTCTCTCTTTCCTCTCCATCTCTTCCCTCTTTCTCTCTTTCCTCTCTTTCTCTTTCTATCTTTCCTCTCTCTTTCTCTCTTTCTTTCTTTCTCTTTCTTTCTCTATCTGTATTTCTCTATCTCTCTTTCTCTTTCTTCTCTTTCTATTTCTCTCCTTTCTTTCTTTCTCTCTTTTCTCTCTTTCTTTCTATCTCCCTTTATCATTCTCTCTCTTTCTCTCTCTCCCTTTTTCTTTCCCTCTTTATTTCTTTTTCTCTCTTTCTCACTCTCTATTTCTCAATGTCTCTCTTTTTCTATCTCTTTTTCTTTCTTTATTTCCTTCCATCTCTTTTCTTTTTCTTTCTTTCCTTCCACTCTTTCATTTTTCTTTCTTTCCTACTTCCCTTCTTTCTTTTTCTTGCTTTTGTTCCTTTTATCCTTTCTTTCTTTCCTTCCTTTCTTTCTTTTTCTTTCTTTTTATTTCTCCTTCATCTCCCCTTCCTCTCTCTTTCACTCTTTCCTCTCTCTCTTTCTCTCTTTCTATTTTTCTTCTCTCTCTCTTTCTGTTTCTCACTTCTCTTTCCTCTCCCTTTCTCTTCTCTCTTTCCTCTCCATCTCTTCCATCTCTTTCTCTTTCCTCTCTTTCTCTTTCTCTTTCCTCTCTCTTTCTTTCCTCTGCCTCTTTCTTTTTCTCTTTTTCTTTCTTTATCTGTATTTCTCTATCTTTATCTTTCTCTCTTTTTCTTTCTCTATTTGTCTTTCTTTCTATCTCCCTTTATCATTCTCTTTCTCTCCCTCCCTTTTTCTTTCTCTATTTTTCTCTTTCTCTTTCTCACTCTCAGTTTCTCAATGTCTCTTTTTCTATCTCTTTCTATCTCTCTCCTTCTATCTTTCTTTCTCTCTTTTCTTCCTCTCTTTTCCCTCTTTCTGTTTTTCTTCTCTTTCCTCTCCCTTTCTTTTCTCTCTCTTTCCTCTCCATCTCTTCCCTCTTTCTCTCTTTCCTCTCTTTTTCTATCTTTCCTCTCTCTCTTTCCTCTTTTTCTTTCTCTTTCTTTCTCTATCTGTATTTCTCTATCTCTCTTTCTCTTTTTCTTTCTTCTCTTTCTATTTCTCTCCTTTCTTTCTCTCTCCTTTCTTTCTATCTCCCTTTATCATTCTCTCTCTTTCTCTCTCCCTTTTTCTTTCCCTCTCTATTTCTTTCTTTCTCTCTCTCTTTCTCACTCTCTATTTCTCAATGTCTCTCTTTTTCTATCTCTTTTTCTTTCTTTATTTCCTTCCATCTATTTTCTTTTTCTTTCTTTATTTCCTTCCATCTCTTTCATTTTTCTTTCTTTCCTACTTCCCTTCTTTCTTTTTCTTGCTTTTGTTCCTTTTATCCTTTCTTTCTTTCCTTCCTTCTTTCTTTTTCTTTCTTTTTATTTCTCCTTCATCTCCCCTTCCTCTCTCTTTCACTCTTTCCTCTCTCTCTTTCTCTTTTTATTTTTCTTCTCTGTTTCTCACTTCTCTTTCCTCTCCCTTTCTCTTCTCTCTTTCCTCTCCATCTCTTCCCTCTCTCTCTTTCCTCTCTTTCTCTTTCTATCTTTCCTCTTTCTCTTTCTTTCCTCTGCCTCTCTTTCTCTCTTTTTCTCTTTCTCTTTCTTTCTTTCTTTATCTGTATTTCTCTATCTTTATCTTTCTCTCTTTTTCTTTCTCTATTTGTCTTTCTTTCTTTCTTTCTTTCTATCTCCCTTTATCATTCTCTTTCTCTCCCTCCCTTTTTCTTTCTCTATTTTTCTCTTTCTCTTTCTCACTCTGTTTCTCAATGTCTCTTTTTCTATCTCTTTCTATCTCTCTCCTTCTATCTTTCTTTCTCTTTTCTTCCTCTCTTTTCTCTTTCTGTTTCTCTCTTCTTTCCTCTCCCTTTCTTTTCTCTCTTTCCTCTCCATCTCTTCCCTCTTTCTCTCTTTCCTCTCTTTCTCTGTCTATCTTTCCTCTCTCTTTCTCTCTTTCCTCTTTCTCTCTCTTTCTTTCTCTATCTGTATTTCTCTATCTCTCTTTCTCTTTTTCTTTCTTTTTCTATTTCTCTCTTTTCTTTCTCCTTTCTCTCTTTCTTTCTATCTCCCTTTATCATTCTATCTCTTTCTCTCCCTTTTTCTTTCCCTCTCTATTTCTTTCTTTCTCTCTCTCTTTCTCACTCTCTATTTCTCATGTCTCTCTTTTTCTATCTCTTTTTCTTTATTTCCTTCCATCTCTTTTCTTTTTCTTTCTTTATTTCCTTCCATCTCTTTCATTTTTCTTTCTTTCCTACTTCCCTTCTTTCTTTTTCTTGCTTTTGTTCCTTTTATCCTTTCTTTCTTTCCTTTCTACCTTCCTTCCTTCCTTCCATTTTTCACTTTTCTTTCCTTCCTTCCTTTTCTTCCCTTCTTGCTTTTTTTCTCTGGTTTCTTCCTTTCTTTTTCCTTTTTCCTTTGTTTCCTTTTTCCCTTCTTTCTTTCTTTCCTTTCTTCCTTCCCTCCTTCCCTTTCCCTGGCTGTCATGAACATATCTTTGGAAAACTTGTAAATGTGTTTAATGCCATTTCCTTTATTTATTGTTTGACTTAAAAATTGTTTGTTTGACTTTGTTGAATAAAAGAGATTAAAAATTGTATCTCTCGTGTGTTTCATATTATTTGTAAGACCTTTCTTGGCACTGTGCCAAGGCTTGCCCCAGAAATAAAAAGATGATGTCATACTTGGCACTGTGCCAAAGGGACGACATCATTTTGGCACTGTGCCAAGGCTTGCCCCAAAAATAAAAATTGATGTCATATATCATAAACACACACACACACACACACACACACATCCATCCATCAATCATAAAAACACACACACATCCATCCATCAATCATAAAAACACACACACATCCATCCATCAATCATAAAAACACACACACATCCATCCATCAATCATAAAAACACACACACATCCACACATCAATCATAAAAACACACACACATATAAAAACACACACACATCATAGACACATGTCTGAAAGAGACATCAGTGTGACATCATGACATCAGTGAGTGGGCTTGGGCTTGGGCTTGGGCTTGGGCTTGGGCTTGGGCTTGGGCTTGGGCTTGGGCTTGGGCTTGGGCTTGGGCTTGGGCTTGGGCTTCGGCTTGGGCTTGGGCTTGGGCTTGGGCTTGGGCTTGGGCTTGGGCTTGGGCTTGGGCTTGGGCTTGGGCTTGGGCTTGGGCTTGGGCTTGGGCTTGGGCTTGGGCTTGGGCTTGGGCTTGGGCTTGGGCTTGGGCTTGGGCTTGGGCTTGGGCTTGGGCTTGGTCTTGGGCTTGGGCTTGGGCTTGGGCTTGGGCTTGGGCTTGGGCTTGGGCTTGGGCTTGGGCTTGGGCTTGGGCTTGGGCTTGGGCTTGGGCTTGGGATGGGGATTGGGCTTGGGCGGGGCTGGGATTCTTGTGCTTGGCTTGAGGCTCGGGCTTGGGCGTGGCTGGGCTGGGCTTGGGCTTGGGCTTGGGCTTGGGATTGGGCTGGGCTTGGGCTGGCTTGGGCTGGGCTTGGGCTTGGGCTTGGGCTTGGGCTTGGGCTTGTGCTTGGGCTTGGGCTTGGGCTTGGGCTTGGGCTTGGGCTTGGGCTTGGGCTTGGGCTTGGGCTTGGGCTTGGGCTTGGGCTTGGGCTTGGGCTTGGGCTTGGGCTTGTGCTTGGGCTTGGGCTTGGGCTTGGGCTTGGGCTTGGGCTTGGGCTTGGGCTTGGGCTTGGGCTTGGGCTTGGGCTTGGGCATGGGCTTGGGCTTGGGCTTGGGCTTGGGCTTGGGCTTGGGCTTGGGCTTGGGCTTGGGCTTGGGCTTGGGCTTGGGCTTGGGCTTGGGCTTGGGCTTGGGCTTTGGCTTGGGCTTGGGCTTGGGCTTGGGCTTGGGCTTGGGCTTGGGCTTGGGCTTGGGCTTGGGCTTGGGCTTGGGCTTGGGCTTGGGCTAGGGCTTGGGCTTGGGCTTGGGCTTGGGCTTGGGCTTGGGCTTGGGCTTGGGCTTGGGCTTGGGCTTGGGCTTGGGCTTGGGCTTGGGCTTGGTTGGGCTTGGGCTTGGGCTTGGGCTGAGGCTTGGGCTGCTTGGGCTATGGGCTTGGGTCTTGGGCTTGGCTTCGGGCTTGGGCTTGGGTCGGGCTTGGGCTGGGCTTGGGCTTGGGCTTGGGCTGGTTGGGCTTGGGCTTGGCTTGGGCTGGGCTTGGGCTTGGGATTGGGCTGGGCTTGGGTTGGGCTGGGCTTGGGCTTGGGCTTGGGGCTGGCGTTGGCTTGGGCTTGGGCTGGGCTTGGGCTTGGGCTTGGGCTTGGGCTTGGGCTTGGGCTTGGGCTTGGGCTTGGGCTTGGGCTTGGGCTTGGGCTTGGGCTTGGGCTTGGGCTTGGGCTTGGGCTTGGGCTTGGGCTTGGGCTTGGGCTTGGGCTTGGGCTTGGGCTTGGGCTTGGGCTTGGGCTTGGGCTTGGGCTTGGCCTTGGGCTTGGGCTTGGGCTTGGGCTTGGGCTTGGGCTTGGGCTTGGGCTTGGGCTTGGGCTTGGGCTTGGGCTTGGGCTTGGGCTTGGGCTTGGGCTTGGGCTTGGGCTTGGGCTTGGGCTTGGGCTTGGGCTTGGGCTTGGGCTTGGGCTTGGGCTTGGGCTTGGGCTTGGGCTTGGGCTTGGGCTTGGGCTTGGGCTTGGGCTTGGGCTTGGGCTTGGGCTTGGGCTTGGGCGGGCTTGGGCTTGGGCTTGGGCTTGGGCTTGGGCTTGGGCTTGGGCTTGGGCTTGGGCTTGGTCTTGGGCTTGGGCTTGGGCTTGGGCTTGGGCTTGGGCTTGGGCTTGGGCTTGGGCTTGGGCTTGGGCTTGGGCTTGGGCTTGGGATTGGGCTTGGGCTTGGGCTTGGGCTTGGGCTTGGGCTTGGGCTTGGGCTTGGGCTTGGGCTTGGGCTTGGGCTTGGGCTTGGGCTTGGGCTTGGGCTTGGGCTTGGGCTTGGGCTTGGGCTTGGGCTTGGGCTTGGGCTTGGGCTTGGGCTTGGGCTGGGGCTTGGGCTTGGGCTTGGGATTGGGCTAGGGCTTGGGCTTGGGCTTGGGCTTGGGCTTGGGCTTGGGCTTGGGCTTGGGCTTGGGCTTGGGCTTGGGCTTGGGCTTGGGCTTGGGCTTGGGCTTGGGCTTGGGCTTGGGCTTGGGCTGGGGCTTGGGCTTGGGCTTGGGCTTGGGCTTGGGCTTGG